GTAAGCTCCCACGCAGCCCCTGAGCAGACAGTGTCCGCTGGGCAGCAGGTCATGTGCCCACCTCATGGCCTCGTATTGTCATCAGGTTATGCCTTGATTCTAGGAATAATTGATGCCCGTAGTGTCAGTCTATGGTGTGGGGCATGAGACGTGTTCGGGGCATCCTAAACGGGGCAGCATGATCGAATACCCTGTTCCGCATAATGATGTCACCGCCGCGCCGTGTTGCAACTCGATTCCCAAGTGCTTGCCCGATGCCCGCGAGATCCCGCCGCCCTTGGGGTGGGCGGCGAGACACTATGACGGCGAGAGCATTAATCCCATTACGAGAAACCTCAATTAGTTCCAAATGGCAGGCGACAAGGGAGCCACATGTCCGGGGTTCCTGGCTGACGTCACGGGCGGGGAAGGTCAGCCTCCGCCCACACTCCCGAGGGTGAATGTAAACCCGCCGCCCCTTCGGCCATCACCCACGCCCGTTGAGGCCTCCGTGGCGCCCATCTCGTTCTCATTTCACTTTAGAACAGTAGCGAAGCCCCCGCCCGTTTCGCTGTACCCTCCTAAAAGGTCTCCACTTCCTCCTCCATAAAAAGGTCACGTTTTTTGCAACATCCAACCACCACGGGCGGCTCCAGGACAGCCCCGTGTTCAGTGCTGGTCCTGCCGTGGGTGTTCGTCCGTTACAGGAATACTCTTACCCTTGTAGCTCGCCTGCGATCAAAAAGTGCTTACTTTTTTTTAAGATCCGTAATTTCATTTACAAATAAATCTTATCATATACCTCATATACTAGCACAGAATGTAATAACGTATTCAAAAGGCATAAAGATTCGTAATATGATATTCCATTTACAAATAAATCTTATCTTATACCTCATATACTAGAACAGAATGTAATAAGGTATTCAAAATATATAAAATCAGACACATTTCATCCGTTGCGAATCAGAATATATGCTTTTATCCAAAAGATAACAGACGGAAGGATATATGATTAGACAATTAGGGAAAAAGAATGAAATGAAGAAAGAAAGAAAGAAAGAAAAAAAAAGAAAAAAAATATGTATTAATATATATACATTTACATATACATTTATATAACATGCTTTTGATATAGATTAGTAAATAAATAAATATAATATATATATATAATATTATATATATATATTATATATATATATATATAATTATATATATATTAACATATTACGTTTTGGCAATATCCTTTGTCCCTTAATACCCTCATAACAAGCCACGATAATTTGACTCAGGATGTGACGTCACGCTGTATTTTTGGCTTTTCCTTTTAAGGTTCAATTTGTTTACCTTGAAGATCTATTGAATGTTCCAGCGCCCTTTTCCCCCTTTTCGTTATGGCTTTTATTTATTTCCTTTTTTTTATTCCCTCTTTTTTCTTCTATGTTTGATGTTCATATACGTTTTTCTCTTCTCTTCTGTTTTATCTCTTTTTTCCATTTGTTTCTCTGTCTACCCCTCTGTTTCTAATTCTCATATTATTTCCCTCCCTCCCTCTACCTGCCTCTCTCTCAAATATATAATATATAAATATATATATATATATATATATATATATAATATATATATAATATTACCCTTTCTCCCTACCTCTTTCTTACCGCCTACCCTCCTCCCTTCATTCTTCCTCTCCCACTCTCTGTCCTTATCTCAGCCAAGCGCGGATCCAGGGGGGGGGTGGGGGTGCACCCGGGGCATTTTCTTTAGCCGAAGCTTTTGAACGAAACAGCTGTGTATCCTGGAAAACACCGGCAATTGTGACTGGGGATTTGACCTCCGCTGGTGCGTCCTCCCCTCCCCCCTCCCCCCTTTCCAAAAAAATCGAGGGTCCGCCCCTGTCACCCCTCTCTCTCCCTCCATTCTCATTTCCTTATCTTCCTTTCTCAGTCTCTCGGGCATCCTTCATACGTTCCTAGAATCCTCACAAAGTATAAAATAAGATATATTTCCCGAAGGAGAAAGTCCCTTGTCCTTCGGAGATCCTTCTGCTCCTCCTACTCCTCCCGCCCCTCCATATCCTGCCGTAGACCGCCGAGTGTCTCGTGTGGGCGTAGCTCTTTCCCCGAGGTCACCCACCGACCTTTGTTGTACCTCGGGCGTGGGTTCCTCTCCGCGTGTGTGTTCTGGGTGTACTGGTTGGTGTATGTGGGTTCCTGGGTTCCTTACGAGGGTTGTGTGTGTGTTGTGTGTGTGTGTATGTGTGTGTGTGTGTGTGTGTGTGTGTGTGTGTGTGTGTGTGTGTGTGTGTATGGTAGGAGAGAAAGAAAGAGAGAGAGAGAGAGAGAGAGCGAGCGAGAGAGAAAGAAAAAAGAGAGAGAGAGAGAGAGAAAAGAGAAAGAGAAAGAGAGAGAGACAGAGACAGAAGAGAGAGAGAGAGAGAAGAGAAGAGAGGAGAAGAGAGCTTGTATTGGACGTTCATTTACCGCTGTATATACTGGTATGGCGCCTGGTCCTGTTTTGTAGGTGTTGGTCTGTTGAAATTAATATTACGTTTTTTTCTGGTTGTCTTTGACATACTTTGCTTGAATCCCTCAAAAGGCTTTGTATATTCATTTTTCGATGATATCATTAGAAAATGGCCAATAGAGTAACTATATCATTAATATTATTCTCATGTCTATAATCCATTTTATATACAGATAGATATATGTACATGAATACATACATACACACACACACACATCAACACACACACACACACACACACACACACACACACACACACACATATATATAATATATATATATATATATATATATATATATATATTATATATATATAATATATATATATATATATTATATAAATATATTATATATATATATGTATATATATATATATATATATATATATATATATATAATATATATATATATATATATAATATATATATATATATATATATATATATATATATATGATCACTCTTAATGTTATAGCCATATTTTTGCCTTTAATTTTCTTTGAAGCAATATTTCTTCCAAGACAACTTGAGATGTTCTCTCCTTTGTCTGCATGATCTTAAACGCTTGCTTGTGTTTCCCCTTCCTTTGTTTTCTTCCTCCCTTCGCCTCCTTCCGTCACACTCTCTTGAAATTCCGCTTCCTCCTCTTCGCTCCCGATAATTCCTCCCCTTTGTTATCATGTTTACTCCCATGCACTTTGTTTGTTGGTCTTGCTCGCTTATTTTACGGTTTGGCTTCCTCCTCTATCCTCCTCTGACCTCTGCTTGTGCATGACTTTCTCTGTGCATGGATCTGGAGCGCCTAACGGGGCTTCCTCGGCCTCGCGATCGCTACTTCATGGCGCCTTTTGGTGGTGTCTGATTCTGTTTTTTTTTTTTTTTTTTTTTTTTTTTTTTTTTTTTTTTTTTTTGATGGCTTGGATTTCGTGTCATTTCGTTTTTTTTTTTTTTTTTGTTTTGTTTTTTTCATCGGGTGAGGGGAGGGGAGAATTCTGATAGCTACTTCATGGCGTCTTTTGGTGGTGTCTGATTTTTTTTTTTTTTTTTTTTTTTTTTTGATGGCTTGGATTTCGTGTCATTTCGTTTTTTTTTGTTTTGTTTTGTTTTGTTTTTTTTTTTCATCGGGTGAGGGGGGAGAATTCTGATCGCTACTTCATGGCGGGTGTCTGATTTTTTTTCCATGGCTTGGATTCGTGTCATTTCGTGATGTCTTTTTATTATTATATTATTATTATTATTATTTCATCGAGTGAGGGGAGGGGAGAATTCTGATTTTTCATTTTTTTTTCTCTGTTTTTTTTCTATTTCTTTTTTATTTCTTTGTTTTTTTCTATTTCTTTTCTTTCTTTGTTTTTTCTATTTCTTTTCTTTCTTTGATTTTTTTTCTTTCTTGTTCTTATTTTAATCTTCTTCCCTTCTTTCTTACTTTATTTATTTTTTTTATTTTTGTCTGCTCTCTCTCTCTCTCTCTCTCTCTCTCTCTCTCTCTCTCTCTCTCTCCTCTCTCTCTCTCTCTCTCTCTCTCTCTCTCTCTCTCTCTCTTCTCTCTCTCTCTCTCTCTCTCTCTCTCTCTCTCTCTCTCTCTCTCTCTATCTATCTATCTATCTATCTATCTATCTATCTATATCTATCTATCTATCTCATCTTCTCAGCCAATGTCACTCAGATGACAGCAAAAGATAATAAGAAATACAAGCTAAAGAACAAAATGGAAAAAGAGAAAAACAAAAAACGCAAAAACTGCACCATCCATTTCTATATTTTTCAAGTCTTACTTTGATTTTATTTCCTCCTTCCCATCATTCACTTTTTGTCTTCTCTCTTTTTTTATTTTTCCTCACTAACTCCGTTATTCCTCCCTCCCGTGATTCTTCTCCTCTCTTTTCTCTCTTCTCATTCTTCCCGCTTACTTCCGTAATTCCTCCTTCCCATCATTTCTACTTTCTCCCTTTTCTCTCTTCTCATTCTCCCCCCATTACCTCCTTTTTTCGTCCTTCCCATCATTCTCCTCTCTTCTCTCTCTTCTCATTCTCCCCCCATTACCTCCTTTTTTCCTCCTTCCCATCATTCTCCTCTCTTCTCTCTCTTCTCATTCTTCCCCCATTACCTCTGTCTTTCATCCTTCCCATCATTCTCCTCTCTTCTCTCTCTTTCTCATTCTCCCCCTATTACTCCTTTTTTCGTCCTTCCATCATTCTTCTTCTTCATTCTCTCTCTTCTCATTCTTTCCCCATTACCTCCTTTTTTCGTCCTTCCCATCATTCTCCTCTCTTCTCTCTCTTCTTATTCTCCGCCCATTACCTCCTTTTTCGTCCTTCCCATCATTCTCCTCTCTCTCTCTCTTCTTATTCTCCCCCCATTACCTCCTTTTTTTTCCTCCTTCCCATCATTCTCCTCTCTTCTCTCTCTTCTATTCTCCCCCCATTACCTCCTTTTTTCGTCCTTCCCAATCATTCTCCTCTCTTCTCCATCTCATTCTCCCCCATTACCTCCTTTTTT